ACAGCACGTTGTTAGCGGAATTGAAGGAGACTTCTTTGGAAACAGCCTCAAAGAGAATGTTCCGGTAAAGGTAAAATAGATCATCTGTCGTCTTCTGGTCAAGCACACCTTCGAATCTCTTCACGCAACCCTTTCACTCGAAATGGAAGTAAGCTTAACAATAATAAAACAAGAGATTTTTCGAAACGCAACTTTATTTTGCAAATATTGACTTACAATGACCAAAGATAGAAAGACGAAAGTACAGCACGTGGTTAGCGGAATTGAAGGAGACTTCTTTGGAAACAGCCTCAAAGAGAATTTTCCGGTAAAGGTGAAAGAGATCTGCCGTCGGCTTCTGGTGGAGCCGACAATTATGAAACAAGAGATTACTCTAAACCTAACTTTTCTTCGCGTATGTAACGTGACAACCTAAAGTTGTTTGTCGTGACTGTTTAGGTTTTCGAGACTACCAGTAAATCAGATATAAGATTTGTGCCCACCCCATTTCGTTTAAGAATGGTGAAGCTTTACTGGAAGTCTCGAAAACCTACTCACTCAATAATGTCGTCGATGGCTACAGCAAATATAAGTTTGCTTCATCGACAATCCCAACACAGAGTGTGGTATGGAAAAATGCCTGACATTCCTCGAAGTGTACATCTGCCCTGTGTCGCCAGGGCACTAGTGGCAAGTTGGCGTGGTGATTAAAGTGTCGAGGTTACACGCTGTACGGTCATGATTCGACTCCCGCCTTGGGTGTTGCTAAGGCCTCCGCCGGGTCGAAACTGCAGTCCACCTTAGCCTGAACGAGAATAACTTATTGGAAAGCGAGGCTATGTGAAATTCAATGAAAAACATCACATCTACTCATCAGATTGTGGTAAACTGCTAGTACCAGTCCTTCATCACCTCACACGAAATGGGGTGAACACAATTCATAGAACATAAAGTATTGCCAATTCGTGCCGGACTGCTGTCTCACAAGCTCCGATGGGCTCGGAGCACACCTCACGAGTGTCAAACTGCCCAGTAATGGCTTTCAGGATAGGTCAATGTCTTTTTATCTAAATTTTACTCATCCATTAGATGCCTACTCATTATGCATTTAAGTAGATGCTTCGCAGCAAAACCAGACAAAAAAAATCAAAATTAAGGGTCGCGTTCCTACTTTCACTATATTTCGTCGGATCTCTCATTTCCTCTTCCTGTTCTGCCTAAAACGGCCAAAAGCAGTTGCTTCAAAATCACACCTCCGTGCTTCAAGTCTCCTCTCCTCAACCCACCAGGCACCAAGCACAATAACGTGCACACACACATACACACAAATGCATGCATGCACACAATATACATGAACATTTCTGCTTAAATGTGTAAATATATGTCCCTCCATACAGCTGCCTAACTCTGGGCCCTTTCTCCAAACTTCGCCATTCACAGTTCAGCCCACACATGCACACACATGCACAGACAGAGTCACAAGAGAGAAGATGTAAAATTTTTTCTAGAAGCCGCTATGGAAGTGTGTATCATCTACCTGAACATGCTCTCGGCTCTGCTCATTGTGTCAGCTTTGAGTAGTCCTGTCTGGCGTGGCGGAAACGAGGCCGCACAAGAAATCCAAGCGCTTCACACCTCGACGTGGGCCACCAGACGAGAGGATATGGGCCGGACACACACGCAAAGGTACAGCTCCTCGGCGATGCCAAGGAGCGAGCGGAGAATGCGCGAGTCCCGCGGCGGGGCTCGGCTCGCTCGACGGGATAGGGCGACACAATCACACAACGGCCCACAGCCACAGGTGTGGCTGGAGTATGAAGGGTGTGAATGAGTCAAGTCAAATCGGCCGGCGCAACGCGGAACTGAGCTCGAGTCGCGGAGGCAGATGAAGGCCAGCGTCTGTGTTGACCGTCTGCCGGTGCGACTTCAACTGGTCTCTTTGCAGATGGGAGCAAGATGAGCTGGTTGAAATCTGTGTCTGTAGCACAGCCTCGACCTCAACAACGGCCACAACTGGCACCGATGTCCACTTGGCAGAATGCCGTCTCGAGACGTCTAGCCGACCGACGACATTGGTTCACTCACTCTGTCTGTCTGTACATTCTTCTATACACATGCACACATGCACACATACACACATATGACATACGGTCTTGCTGTTTGTCTCTGACACGGCAGAAT